GAGCGCTAACATGGTAACTTCCGGTCTTACCGGATTGAGCTTCGTTTTCTCTCCCAGGCCGCCTTCTTCGGGTAACTTGGAATGCATCCAGTAGAAGCGGAAATCGGTCTGCCCCAGGGGAGGGAGGGAGGGAGGGAGGGAAGAAGAAAGGTTAGTCATCTCAAACTCAAATAGAAAGATGCGCCGTGTTCAAAATGGCTACGAGTTCACTAAGGCCCCAGCCCTTCTTGTGCCCATTCCCTTAAAAACTGCCACAAGTCCAGGGGGACATCAGTAGCAGAGCCATCCATCATTGCTGCAGGCCACTGGGTGACGCTCTCTGCTTGGGGGTGGGGTGGGGGGCTTCCACGCCCCATCTTATTCTCCCTACCCTCAGAGGGCTGCATGACCGCTAACCCCACTTACAAATTGGGCTCGCTAATTGCAAGGTCAGCAGTTTGAAACCACCAGCCGTGCAGCAGGATAAAGAGGAGGCTTTCTATCCCTGTAAAGATTTAGATTTACAGCCTTGGAAACCCCCAGGAGCAGTCGCTCTAAGTCGGAATCGCTGGCAGTGAGTTTTGTTTTACTTCTTCCGAGGTAACGACTGGTTTCTCTGAGTTTCTGTAGTTCTTTCAGGGTCTCTTTCTTTTTAAAAAAAAAATTATCTTAGTTTTGTAAATATTTTGCATTATAGTCGTCAAAGTACAAAAACACACAGGTGGCGTTCATTACCAAATTCATTTACAAGGATAAACTCATTCGGTAGAACTAGAAAGATTCTGGGTTTTACACTCCGCTCTGCACTCAGGCAACACTCGCTCGGACGGTCTCGGCTGCAACGGCTCTAGGGAGAACACCTCGTCGAGTTGTTCGAAGGGATGCAAGCAGACAGTCAACGCAAAGAGCTCAGCGATGCTAACCTTGCCCGTTCCCATCTGCAGGACCTGCGCCTGAAAAGTCTGACGTCCCATTAGCCGCCTGATCTGAAAACCCCATCTGGGGGAAGAGCCGTGTACGGAAGTTGTACTGAGGGAACCCAGGGTTCTCACGGGTGAGCCCGCGCCAGCACCGCCAGGAGGCTCTCAATGCATAAGCCCCAGGCCTACCCCAGCCCAGCTGAGTTAGTAGGCCAGAGCATTTGCATTTCTAACACCTCCTGAGTTCAGGGCCCACCTGTTTAGAATGACTATGATGAACTTAGCAGTGAAGAGCGCCAGGGAGTACAGGGAGTAAAAGCCGCCGCTGTGAACTGACACAAGGGGCCCTGGTAGGGCTATAGAGGAGGTGGTGGCTGCTAACAAGGTTGCAGGTTCAAACCCGCCAGGAGCTCCACGAGAGAAAGATGAGGCTGTTTGCTCCATAAAGACTTGGCGTCTCAGAAACCCTGTCGCCGTGAGTCGGAATGGACTTGCCGGCTGTGGGTTTGGATTTGGATTTGGCCTCGATGAACCAAGGCCGCCAGCCCTGCTAGTGGAGACGGAGGCTCACCTGCAAAGTCTCCTCCCAGACCTGGCCCCTCAGGGAGCCGAGGCTGTGTGCCCAGGAAGCCCTGCCACTTCCAGAGCTAGGACGTGGCTGGTGAAGGAGTGGAGGACTCAGGAGACACCTGCGGTGCTTGGCATTCCACTTTCCCTTTCCTGCGCCTGCCAGCCCAGGTGGCACCCCGCTCCTCACCCCACTGCCAGCGAGTCCCTCACATCCAGCTGCAAGCTGACAGCAGCTGCTGCACAGTCCCAGCCTGCTCTCTGCTCTGTTTCTCTTTCTTCCCTCCAAGAATTGCTATACTTCCTTGCTCCTTTCTAACTTCAAAAAAACAGCGAAAGGATTTCAACACATTCCAAGCCTGAGAGCAAGGGGCATTCGACAGTGTCCGTGATGCACCCCATCCTGGCTGCACCAGGAAGCTGGTCCCGACCGAGGCCCACGCTGACCTGACAGTCATAAACAGGGTGTCCCCGCCAGCACATCACGTCCAGAACGTAGTAGGTCTGGTTCACCTCACTGTAAATGCAGTCCAGAATGGTGTAGTCTGGGGACGCAGAGCCAAGTGTCAGTCCAGGGTCCCCCCTGCCACGATGACCCGGGGAGCCCCACGTGACAGTGCAATAATCCTCGCACGGGCCCCACTGGGGCGAGGACTAGGGACTCAGGGTGAGAGGAGTTCCTTATGACCCTCCCTGGCTCCCGGGGTGGGACGGCACAGAGGGCAAAGGGACCCTCAAGGGAACGGGATTCAGAGCTGGTGGAGCCGACTGCTCTCAGTGCTCTAGCACGCCGAGGCTCGTTTACAACATTTGTGCTCCTGCAGCAGCAGGCCCGGTGCTCGTCGGGAGCACGCCGGCTTCACTGTGGCTGTCTTGGAGGTGGTGACAATCCAGGCCTGGCGCTAAGGTGGGCCCAGAGGGAGCAACCAAGGGCTGAGCTGCCCAGCACCCTCGGGAGCAGCATGCACTCAGGAAGGGGGGACAGGGGCAACCGAATGCGCTCCGTGGGAGAGCCGGTTCGAGCCACCAGGAAGCAGCACGAACAAAGGCCGAGGTGGAATGCGGGTGGGGGAGGGACAGTAGAGGGTGGTGGCCCCAGGGCCACTGTGCAGGGGTTCAAGGCCAAGAGGTCAGTCTGAGCTCAGTATGGGGAACACGAAGAACCACCCTGGGTGCCAAGCAGGAAGGGGAGAGAAGGTTCCGGCCCGTTCTTCCACTTCCTCACCCAGGCCGCCGTGGGCCAGTCAGTCCCCCTCCATGACCCCCCTCCATGACCCTTCCTTTCCTCGGGGGCTCAGGGGGCGGGCCTGAGGGGCGGCCATGGTAAAGGAAGAGGAAGAAGGTGGCAGGAGGAGGCCCCAGTGGCAACTGCCTGCACCATCCCACCCGGCATGCACTGTCTGCGGGCCTGTCACCAAGGAACTGCCCCTGCCGCCGTGCAACGCGGGCACACAGGAGAGGAACGCGGCCCTCACTCAGGAAGGCTTGCCCACCAGAGGGGCCCTGGTGGGAGGGCGGTCGCATGCCCAGCTGCGATCCACATGGTCGGCAACCACCGGCAGCTCCTCGGTAGAAAGACGGGCCTTCTGCTCAGTAAGCAGTTGGTCTCAGAAACCCACAGGGGGTCGTGAGGGGCCAGCAAGGACGCCGTGCTAGTGAGTTTGGTTTGGCTCTTGGTTATTGCCCACCAGCCTCAGAGCTGCGTATTCCTACAATCGAGGGGGCCTGTGAGGGCGGGGTGAGGGAGGGGGCACCAGGGAGGGTCCAGGGGCCAGGACAGAGTCTACGGTATGCAGTGACAAAGGCGTGCTCTCAGAGTGAGTCTTTAAAATGATGCAACGCACAACTGCCAGGGCTTTACTGCTTAGAACTCTTCCTACGTAGGCATTTTATGCAGGTACCTTTGGCTGTGGCTGAGTTCCGCCTGTTGCCTCCTGGCAGAAGGGACGGGAACCTGTTGACACAGTAACCGCTCTTGGTGTAGGCGCTGGTAGAACCCTGTGTGCAGAGGAAGCCGCTGAGGTCTCCTGCCCCTTCTGCCCTCCTCATCTGCAAGGTGCCATGGCCCCAAGGTGCCCCCCAGCAAACCCCTCCTGCAGGAAGCAAAGAGCCCCATGGCCGCTCCAGGCACAGTGTGGGGGCAGATGGGAAGCCCTCCCACGCATCTTTGGGCGTGCACAGAACCACAGAGATCCCATCCGGGCAGAGGCAGTGCACAGAGCGGGCGTGCTGGCCCAGGGCAGGGGCAACGACTCACCCTGGAGGCCACGATGAGGGCCCTTTTCCCAACAGGGCACACAACCACAATCCACTCCTGGCCCAGGTCTGCAGGGACATCGATCAGCCACTCAGAGAGCATCAACTGGGAAGACAAAGCGGGCGTTAGACAACCATGTTGTTGTCTTCTGACCCTGTGGCCACACCCTGCACCCGGAACCAGCCCCCTGCCATCAAGTCCCTGCCCACCCAGGGCAACCCCAGACAGGGCTTCTCGAGCCCCAGCTTTCTTTGAGGGGGGCGGTGGGTTTGAACCCCCAGACTTTGGGTTGGTGTTGCAATGCTGCCCCAACAGCAACCAGCACTTGGCCTTTCCCGTCCTGGCCCAGACCACACTCCCTGCCATCAAGTCGCCCTGTCGGACAGGGTGGAACTGCCCCTGGGAGTTTCCAAGACTGTACTTCTTTACCGGGAAGAGAAAGCCTCGTCTTTCTCCCTCTGATGAGCTGGTAGTTTTGAACTGTTGACCTTGAGGTGCCCAGCCCAGCCAGGAACCATTCTGCCACCAGAGCGCTTCAAATCCTGCACAGGTGCTAACAATTCACGTCCAAAAAGACCACGGGGCTCCACCCCATTTGCTCAGGAATTAAGCTGGCTTCCTGCTCCCTGAAGGGATGGAGACCAGGCCCCGTGAACCTCAGCTCTTCGGCCCACTTCCCAGAGCTGCAGATCCACACCTTTCCATACGTGCTCACTGCCTGGATTGGGCCGGTGAGAGCACCCGAGTCTTGGCCCTCCTCTACCCACCCACTGCTAGCAAAGCTGCAGGGTCCCAGGCAGCGTCCCGAGATGAGTAAGGTCTCCTCCCCCGGCCTGCCCTTGGGGTGGGGGGCTGCCAGTCACAGCCTCTGCCTTGGCACACATCCTGCTGGCCCCAGGACAAAGGGCCGTTCTGTTTGCCTCCCCAAGAAACTGCCGAACCAGCACCGCAAACTCACTGCCATCGGGTCAATGCCGACTCACAACGATCCTACGGGACAGGGTAGAACCGTCCCTGCGGCATTCCGAGATTGTAACTCTTCAAGGGAGGATAAACCCTTGTTTTCTGCCACGGAGCAGTAGCAGCCCAACATGTGCCCCCACTACGCCACCAGCCATGCCCACATCCTAAAGATGCCCCGTGGGTACTGTCTGGGGCCCCTTGGGGTGCAGCTCACCGACTCTTACAACTTCACTGCTCACTTCCTCTCAGGATGCCTCCCGACACCCTCCTTCTTGGCCAGGCATACTTATTCCTTTCCCTCCAGACCTGGACAAGGGTTTTTCAAAAGCTCATGAAAAATATCCCGCTATCTTTCCACCCCATTCTTCCATGAATGAGGAGGAGCAAAGGAGGCACACCGTGACGAAACCTTTGCAGACATAACCAAGCACCTTTATGGAGAGACTCACTGGGCCTGGAGGCTCAGGACAGGGGCTCGGAACACTAAGGTAAACCGGCGTAACCCAGTTCCCAAAGTGCCCAAAGACAACGGTCTACATCCTTCTTTGGTCTGTAGTAAATCAAGTTCTGAAAACTTACAAGCAGCCATCTCAGGTGTAAAACAACGGGCCCCTCCCTGCCTGGAGAAAAGAAGAGCAAAGAAAATCAAAGAGGCAGGGAAGCAATTCATCTCACGGACTCCTGGGCCACTGAAACCTCAGTGTCTATGCGGCCGAGGCGGGCAGAAGTAGAGGGTGCCCAGCTCCCACGGCTCTGAAAGGAATCACGGCGGAAGACCGTGGACAGGAGGGGAAATGCAAAATTCAAATTCATCAAACAGAGCAGGCTTTAAAAACACAAAGAAAAGCAGGCTTATTGGTCAGGTTGAGATGCACCCTTGGTCACCCCGAAGGTCTGGAAATGAACTCACCCCAGGGGCTCAGCTGTCAGCGGAGAAACAGACAGTTCCCCAAGGGAGCGACACCACTGGGGAGGGTCACACGCCTGAGAACAAGCAGCCTATCGAGATCCCTGGGGCGGCATTTCCCAAGGTCAAAGTGCAGGAAGAGGAGGAGGAAGGGGCATGGGAAGGACAGGCAGGACGTGGGATGAGTGGTGTGTCATTGTGGGCACTGCAATCAATGACATGAAACAAAATGTGTAAGGATTGTTGAGTGGAAAGCGGATCTGCTCTGGAAACCTTCACCCAATTCACAATAAAAAGCCTTTAAGAATGCCATTCTCTTTTCCTGGAAATTTTTTGAAGACTCTCATTTTGTGGGACATTGATTATGGCTTCCAGACTAGGAATTGAAGGTATATTATATCTTATTTGGCCCTTCAACAATATAGAGACAAGTACTACCGGAAGATTGGTTCTATTACAATCTCCCACTGTAGGGATGAGAAACCAGAGACTTAAGAGTCGTTAATCAACTTGCTCCAGATCAACACAGAGCTGGCTTTGAGGTCAAAGTCTACACAGCACTTCTCCTACTGCCTCTCCTACCCAATCCACAGCTGCACTACACACACACTACCTGGGCACCCCACATCCCTCTGCTCACCTCTGGGCTCCGGCTCAGCCTTCCCCCGCTGCCAGAACTGCGCTCACCGCACACCTCTGCCTGCCAACGTGCTCCCCAACCTTCAAGGCTGCCTCTTCCTTCATGAACCACTCCTCATCCCACACTCCTGCCCCTCCCCAGCCAGAGGGAATCGCAATTCCTAACAGCGGCAACCGTGCGACACTTATTTGAGGAGCTCGGGGCCGTTTCTTATCCGAGTATAGCTTCCCCCCACAGAGACTAGATCAGAGCTTGCTGAGCAGAACTGATGCGCCCCTTGTCACAGAGGCTGTTCCTGGGGCTGTATTGGGGCAGGGAGAGGAAGTGGGGTGTGTGTACACCCAGGGGTCATATCCTAACGGGAGGAGGAGGAGCAAGAGAGACCCCAGTCCTGGTCTCTGCCTCGGCCTCTCTTTCTGTCCACAACGGCCTCAGTGGCTCTCACTGCACAACAAAGGGCGGGCAGACCAGCTGAGCGGAGCCAAGCATCTCTGGACCACTCACTTGATTGGCATAGCGCTTTGGTAGTTTCTTGCCAATGTCAACGTCCATTTCTTCATCATCTTTCTTCTCTTCCTCCTCCTCCTCACTCTCCATCCCGGCCCAGTCATCCTCAGCCAGCCTTCTGGCATGGTTCACAAAGTCCAGGCGCTTGCTGGAGAAAGACAGGGAACACAGACCGGTCTTTACGCTTGCACAAAGGCACCCCAGCCCGGCCCACCCCACCCCACCATGTGAGAGGGCTTTTAAAGGTTCCCTGAGGTCGGCAGTTCTCAACCTGTGGGTCGTGACCCCTTTGGGGGCGGGGGTGTCGAAAACCCTTTCACAGGGGTCACCTACGACCATCAGAAAACACTTATTTCTGATGGTCTTAGGAACCGAGACACCGCTTCGCTATCCGTCTCCATGCAGATCTGCCCACCTATGAGTAGTACCCGGCGTGAAGACTGTTACCCAGGCTACACCATGCTACACGACAAACTCTCACTTATGTGTCACTAGAAATCAATATTTCACAACATCTAATGACATATTGTTTTGTGATTCATCACTATGGCTTTAATTACGTTCAATTTGTAACAATGAAAATACATCTTGCATATCAGATATTTACATGATGATTCATAACAGTAGCAACATGACAGTGATGAAGTAGCAATGACAATAATGGCATGGTTGAGGGGGTCACCGCACATGAGGAACCGTATGAAAGGGTCGCGGCACTGGAAAGGTTGAGAACCACTGTTAGGTAGTCAGAACAGGGACCAGGGTGTTCACTGGGCAAACTCCCAAATTTGAGCTCACGGTCAGGAGGGGGTGGTACACCTAGGTGGGCAGTGCACCTGGATTGGCCCATCTAGGCCAGGTGAATTTGATTCAGCCAATGGGATCAAAGAGTACCATCATCAGCCACGCCTCCCAACAGGGGTGGGGCCTGAAAAAGCCAGAAACTTGGAGACCACCGCCCGCTGGGCTCCTACACCGCTCAGCTGGGCGGAACTGCAGTGGGCACCGCTGTGCCAGGGCTCGCGCGCGCTCTGGCTCGCGTTCAGTTTACCGGGACACCTGAAACTGCTGCTATACTGGATGAAAAACCCACCTGGCTCGCAAACCAGGCTTCGGGTGAATTCTCTCTCGTACGAAGCCAACGACCGAGGTATTTCTCACCCTAACATTATTGAGAACCCTCACAGTCCCATTTTGAGAGCAGTTGGCAGGGGGTTCCAGAGGGAGAAGGAGGTGGCGACGCTGCACTCATGACTGTCTCCTTCCAGCCCTTGATGCAGAAGCCCTGCCGTGGTGTCCACCCAGCAGCCCTGAGTCCCCTCTGAATGGACCAAGTGCAGGGTTTCATTCCAAGGCCTGCCATCTCCCGCCCTTCACCGCCATCCAGCCCACAGTTTGGCGATGCCACTTCCCTGCCTGGCAGACACCCTCTGTGCAGGGCCCTGGGATGGCACCGCGGAAATAGGCCGCTTCTGAGCAATCCACGCTCTCCACTTCAGTCGGCTTTCTGAGCAGCAGCCAGACCTTTGCCAGTTTACTGCCCAACTTTCAAAAGTGGCCTACTCAGTTTGTGAGTATGCTACCTTTTCCTTACTCCCTTCCCTTCGCCAGTGAGCTGCGGCTTGTTCTGCCTGTCTCTTAACTACCTACGCTCAGGCGTCTGGGAAATCGAGAAGGAAGGAAAGTCTGTGTCACTTGGAACCTCCCAGAATCCAGCTGCAAGGCAGCCTTTCCAGGATACACTACCACGAAGCCCCGTGCTGCGCTGAGGCGAGGGTTCGACCAAATGAGGCAGCGAGACCTCGACCGTGGGGGTCTTCTCAAACACACGTGTACACGCACAGCCACGTGGAGGTCACCACGGAGAGCACACGTGCCAGCACCGAGAGGGCTGGTGTGCTCACACATGTCCATGTTATTCCCCATACACGGTTTGGGATCCCAAGAGAAGGGCGCTGGCCAGATGTCCCTCCATACAGGGCAGGGTAGCTGGCACTGTCCACTCTCCACCCCATAGAGCACCTGGTACCACTAAAAGGGGACAGTCTGCTGCCACGTAGCCATCCCACCAGTGTGACGCTGGCCCCACGGGGCATCGTAATGGGGGCAGGCTGCCCCGTCTTTCTCTTGAGGAGATGGGGTGGACGCGAACGACCCAGCTTTCAGTTAGCAGCCCCACACTTTACCCGATAGGTTCCTAAGGCTGTTTTATGAACGAAGGTAGCGCTTATGAACTTTTAAGATGCCCCCCAAGAAGCACTGTTAAACACTTGGGCAAAACAGTGTTTAATATGCTGCTATTAAACATACACACACACACACACAGTTGTGTACACATAAATATAACTCTCTGCCATGGACTCATAGTGACCTTTAGGACAGGGAAGAACTGGTCCTGTGGGTTTCTGAAACTATAACTCTTTTTTTAAAATTTAATTTTATTTATTTATTATTTTAAAAATACTTTTATTGGGGGCTTACATCGCATCACAATCCATACATTCATCCAGTGTGTCAAGCACATTTATCCATGTGCCGCCATCATCATTTTCAGAGCATTCTCTTCCCACTTGAGCCCCTGATATCAGCTCCCCAAGACTGTAGCTCTTTATGGGAATAGAAAGCCTTATTTTTCCTCCCTTGGAGTGGCTGGTGGTTTTTGAACTGTGGACTTTTTGGATCACAGCCCAGTGCATAACCACTTTGCCACCGGGGCTCCCACACAACCACACACACTTGTTTATCCAGGCTTAGACGTCCTTCAGAAAGATAAAAGAGGACTGAATTGGGAGGCGACTTTTCACCATATTCCCTTTTACATATTTTGAATGTGTTCCCCGTTGCAAAACAACTTGTTACAATGAGCGAGAGAGAGAAAACAACAAGGCCTGCTCTGGGAATGTAATCTGCAAGCAATCCCAGAGGCCATCGGGAGCCATCCCTGCTAAACACATCCAAGGATGTGGCACTGGGCAAAGACACAGATGGAAAGCGTGCAGCGTGCATAGTTTTCCCTAAGCCCCAATCCCCTGATTCATTAACCAGAAAGGGGCCAGGCTGCCCAAAGACTTCCGCACAGCCCCATCTCACACTCTCCTATCCTGCTCTCTGGGAGTGTGTTCACCTTGGCATTGAGAATTAAGTGCCTGGAAGACATTTCCTCCGAATCCTGGAGGAGCTATTTGTTATGAACTCCCAAGGGCTCGGTAGAAACATTTGGCCTGAAGGAAGACGGGAAGACCACACCAATGCCAGGATTCTGAGCGCAGGAGAAGCCACACATCCTCAGGGCAGGGAATTTGTGGGGGTGTGGAAGTGGGGGTGTGGCTTCCACAAGGCTAATCGCCAAACCCTACACTGCTGCCAGGAAAGGAAAGAAAAAAGAAAAGTTGAGCCACAGAATTGAGCTTTTGGTCGCAAACTTCAGCCTCTCTCTGCTTCCTCATCGGTTCCGACGCTCTGGGCATCCAACCTCACAGGCAGGCAAATCAACCTACAAAAGATCTGTGGAGACGCACCAGGCGCCTCCTGAAAAGGTCACTGCTCCCAGCTCCGAGAAAGAGGCCTCACTTACGATTTCTGCAGTTCCAGTAACCGGCGGCGCCGCTCACCCTGCTCGAAGGAGCTGCACTTGGACTTGTACTGGGACAGGCGGGGGTGGGGGGCCGCAGTGCTGTTCAAATCTTGGGACACAGAGAAGCTGCTGGCCAGGGCTTGACTCAGCTCTTCCATTGTTCCTAGAAGAGAAAAAAAGAACAAAAGAGGTTCAATCCGGTCCGATCACCTCTGTGTACGGGCAGTTGCGATGTAACACGACAGCTCCACTTCTTAGAAATGCCACTTAATCAAGACAAAATTCGTTCCGAGGGAAAAGAGGAAGTTAAGGGGCACAAGGAGCTGCAAATGAGCAATAACGGTATCTCCTGTCCTGCAGATATCCCAGGAATGATCCTGTTGATAGGTGCCGTGAACATCAACCAGGAAGCTCACCCTGGGGTGGAACCCAACTTTTGCCTTTCCTTACATCACTGGGACCCCTGCCCTCAGTGCCTTCTGAATCACGTGGACACTCAGAAACCTACCCAGCATCGAATCTTTCCTGAGGGGGCTTGGGTAGCCATCACTCTAGAATCAATAACTTCTGGATGCCAATTTTATCCAGTAGTTATTTATTTCTCATTTCAGTGAGCGCTATTAGGAACCTGAGGCTGGCCCCAGGAGAAATACTGCTTCTGAGACCCGGGAGGAACGGAAAAGAGACCAAAGATTTTTTAAAATTTAATTTTAATAATCATTTTATTGAGGGCTCTAACAGCTCTTAAACAATCCATACATCCATTGAGAAGCCAAAGCTTCGACTGTGGGCAGTTACTTCCTCATTTTGGAGGTTTTAATGGGTGGGGGGATTTATTTGGGGCGGGGATAGGGCAAGGAAAAAGAGATGGCAGGACTACCTGGTGGTGCAGTGGTTACGAGTTGGGCTGTGATCCGAGGGGCCAGCAGTTGGAAACACCAGCCAGCTGCTCCTTGGGAGAAAGACAGGGGTTTACACTCCTGCAAACAGCTACAGTCCCAGAACCTCAAAGGGGCAGTGCTTTGTCCTTCCTATGTGATCGGTCACCATGAACTGACCCAATGCCAGTGAGTCTTGTTTGCTTTTAAGTGGGATCACTTGGAAAAGAGTGAGCCTGTAAAAGGCCATCCAAAAGCGAACAACTATTCCAAGAGTGTGAACAACCGTTATGTGGTGCCTTTGGGAGGCAGGGAGACACTGTCATGGTGGAGAATGATGGAGAAGGACCACCCAGGCAGGCCTGAGCCGTGAAAGAATGGAGAACAGCTAGCAGTGGGTGCACACACCAGGAATGAGGGGGGGCGGAGGAGCTCACACAAGGGTTAAAGGTGTGCCTCCGAATGTAGTATGAAAATGGGAATACTTGAGAAAAACCCGCCTCCATACTCAAGCTCCAGCATACACCGGAAGACCGGCCACGACTTAAACTCCTTCCCAGGCCACATGTCCCAATACTCTGAGCACCAGGACACACAGGTTCCTTCTAGACCCTCCGGAGTGAGAGCGACTTCACATGGCACACCTGAAGTCAGATCTTCCATTCTTAGTTTGCAGCATGGGATTTATTTTTTAATTTGAAAAGACAGTCTTTAACTGTAAGATGAACATATTACCCCATTCTCAGTGTGAACTGGAGGTGGAAATTGTTAAGCAACTGGGATGGCCGGGTGATGGGTCTATTAGAATACTTTCATCATGAAAAAAGAAAGTGTTTTGTCAGCAAGGAGCCCTGGAGGAGCTGTGGGCTCTCATAAAGAGTTAGTCTTGGAAAAACAAAAAAAAGATTTAGTCTTGGAAACCATTAAGAGCTGCTCTGCTCAGTCCTAGGGGGGGCCAGGATGAGTTGGGATCCTCCCCATAGCAGTGGCTTGGGGTATTTGGGTAGGCAGGGCTTACTCAAATAGTGACCAAACCCACGGGTGCACTTCTGAGCCCTGGTGACCAGCCAGTTAGGATGTGCTGCTAAGGCCTGGTCAGCAATGGGAGGCCACCGGCGGTAGGGAGTTTGGTTTGAGGAGCCCTAGTGGGGCAGTGGGAGAATGATGTGGCAGTCTCTCAAGATGTACAGACTTAGCAGTCTGGGTGCAGTTTTGTTTTTTAAGCACGGATCTGGATGCAGACTCCCTCTGTGAAACCCAACACACCCCTTAACACCGATGCCCTGGACACCGGGTGGTCCCTGAAACTTAGGGGCTGTTGTTCTAAGCTAACCCCTGCTCTTGAAACAGAATCCTTGGATGATGCTGTCTCCTGGGGTTCTGACCCTACCTCTAGGTGTGTATACCTATCCACCTGCAGTCACCCCTCCAACTACCAAATATCCCGCCGGCCCCCAGGCTTCCTCCGTGCTCCAGATGCCCCCCCACCCAGTCCCCCGACTCCCCTTTGTCCGGTACCTCCCAAGTCCCAGCCCTGAGGATTGACTACCTGCCCCACTCGGCGGTCCTCCCCGCCACGGCCCTGCGAGGCCACGCCCTAGGAAGCCCGCTAGCTAGACCTCGCCATCTCTGCCCCTGCCCCGCCACCAAAATGTCCTGCGGGGTCCACGCTGGGCAGCCAGGTGGATAAAGGTGGTCCAGTGCCCCGGAAGGAAGGCCCCGGCCTGGCTCTGCCCCTCCATGATGCCCCGGGAGGCCAGGCGTGCGGGTAC